CTAAGCCGGCAGGTGGACATCCCCCAAGGGGTTCCGGACTGCGAGAGGGCACAGGCAGGGCTGAGGGCCCCCCCCCCCCAGTGCACGAATTTTCATGCACTGGGTCTCTAGTCCTATATAATAAAAGCCTAATATGCTAAGTGTCTTGTCGGCCAATCGGCCGGTCTACCAATCAAAGTGCAATATGCTAATGGTATGCGAAGGCCGCTCAACCACTTGCTATGATGTGCACTGACCACCAGGGGGTAGATTCTCCAACCAGGGTTAGCTTGCCTCTGGGGTCTGGCTGATCAGGACTGAGCAAGATGGGCCAGACATGCCCTGGAACTCTCCCCCTGTCCCTCCCCAGCTGTCCAACCTCCCACGTCTCTCCCCGGCCCCAATCATGCATCGGTGGGATCCCTCAGCCTGGCCCGTGCCCTCTCTCAATCTGGGACCCCTCAGGGGATTTCAGAATGCTGGTTTCAGCCCGATCCCGCAGTCCAGGCTGAGGGACCCCACAGTGCATGAATTCATGCACCGGACCTCTAGTGGTCTCATAAATAGACAAAGCAAAAGCCTCATCGCCCTCATCTCTTTCCTTCAATCCAGAGGTAGAGTTGAGAGTTTGAAATATATCTTCCAGCCATTCAATGCACATATCAACAGAGGCATAACAGGGTGCTGATAAAGGCTTAACAACCTGCCAGCGAGGTTATATGTCCCAATTTCCTGTGTTTACATAAATGCTCCCACCATGGCTGATTTCAAGCTGCCAAGATAGAGGCACTGCACGAGTAGGGGGAAGAGAAATACAATGGCAACTATTACATAGTATTTCTATTGTGTAGGTACAGTAGATGCCAATATCTTCGAGAACATATATCATAGTAAAATGTAGGAAAATTATTAGGGAAGTGCTAAGCTTTGAGAGTTTACTACCTTTTAAAAATATGACTTTCTGAATTGTAAGTGTAGATAATTTAATTTTATAATGGCTGGGTTTAACGACTGGTTCGTGAAACTCTGGAATATTTTGCAGTCGTCTCTCATAGGCAGTACAAGCCAGCTCCAGCTCAACACTCATTTCCTTTTTACTAAAATAGTAACATTCTTCAAATTTTTTTCTTTAACTTGCTTTTTATTTACAAGATTCTTTACCCAATAATTCATTCACTCAACCAATATTCTACCAGGTGCCATGTGCCCTCATGAACGCAGTCACCGTGCGCTTTGCCTTCATTAGCTTATGGTCTAGTGAGGGAGACAGTTTGTTACCAAATTGATAAGTAGATACACACCATCAATAACAAAAATGCACCTTGTAAGTAGGTCTCTAACAAGGTGTAACAGGACGATGTCATAGTAAAAACGCTGAGTCCGTAGGTGTATGGAGGTCAGGGTGTGGCAGGGTGGAAACTCCTTTCAGTTCAGGCCAGGAGGAGCTTCTAGATGACAGGAACGGAGACACAAAGGATGAGCAGGGACCAGCCACGCAAAGTTTAGTGGGAAAAGGGGGCAGAGGCTATGTTCCTTGGAGCCATTTTTGTGGCCTTTACAGACACACAGAACAGTTCTGTCCATTGCTCTTAGAACAGTCCTTGTAGAGTGAAAATGGAGAGGCTCCCTACCAGCTTCAGAGTGGGGATTACCCTTGAGGGGAGGGAGAGAAGGAGAATGAGTTAGAGGCAGTGATAGTCTTCAACCACATCTTGGTATTTTCTTAAAGCAAGAGGAGGGAGAGGTCTGGGACAAATTTGGGTGGTGGTAATTTCCCTTGGCTCTAGCTGGTGGGTACCAGGCTATCAGCTGCATTATTCTTTATAATTTCTGATGCTTGAAATATTTCGTGATTATTATTGTTTTAAGAATGGGGGAAAGAGGTGGTAGGCAGCAGACCCAACCAGTGTAAAGATTCACTCTCAGATCATCGTGGCAGCAGAAAAGTGAAGGGAGAAGAGGCTCGAGAGAAGCTGAGGAGGCAGCCGGGGACCAAGTCAACTGGGTCTTGAAGGCTATGACCCTAAGTCCGAGTTTTATTGTAGGTGCAGTGGATGCCACATTGAGCTGGAGAGAGGCATGTCTGATTTATATTGATAAATGATTCCTCTGGCTGCTTTGAGGAGAATCGGTGGAGAGTTAAGAATGGCATCAGGGAGGTTATTTAGGATCTCTTGCAGTTGTCTAGATAAGAGCTGGTGATGGCTTAGACCAGGGGAAGCAGGAAGCTGTGGAGAGGAACATTTTTGAAACCTGATTTGAAGGACTTGCTGAGGGATTAGATACTGGGGGTGGGGGAGCAGGATTGAGAGGGAGGGATGAAGGGCAACTTTCTTTTAAAAAAACACACACACAATTTTATTAAGATACTAGAGGTCTGGTGCACGGATTCATGCACCAGTGGGTCCCTTAGCCTGGCCTGTGCCCTCTCACAATCTGGGACCCCTCAGGGGATGTCGGACTGCTGGTTCCTGCCCAATTCCCATAGGCCAGGCCGAGGGACCCTATCGGTGCATGAATCCGTGCACCAGGCCTCTAGTATGCATATAAGATGTTTCATTAATTTCTTTCCCCCTTTCCCCTCCCCCCTTCCCTCTGAGATTGTCATCAGTCTGTTCCATGTTTCCATGCCTGTGCATTGAGCATCTGCCCCTGGTGGTCAGTGTGCGTCATAGATACCGGTCGAACGGTCACTTAGGCTTTTATTTTTATAGATTCTAGACCTCGTGAGGTGGCTCTGCTCCATTGAGTCCTCAGAGAACCATGCTTAATCTAGCTCAGGGGTGGGCAAACTTTTTTGACTTGAGGGCCACAATGGGTTCTTAAATTGGACCGGAGGGCCGGAACAAAAGCATGGATGGAGTGTTTGTGTGAACTAATATAAATTCAAAGTAAACATCATTACATAAAAGGGTACGGTCTTTTATTTCAATAGTTTTATTCATTTCAAACGGGCCGGATCCGACCCGCAGGCCGTAGTTTGCCCACGGCTGATCTAGCTCATCACTCTCTCTATGCTTGGATTATCCTCACAGTTCAGGTTGGTACCTAGAGCTCCAGCTATCACATCTGCATTCTAGGCAGCAGGATGGTAGAAGGGCCTGTATCAGTTGTCTTTTGAAGAAGTTTTCAGGACGCTGACACATGACACTTTCACTTACATCCTATTGGCCAGACCTTAGCTAGAGAAGAAGCCAAAAAATGTATTCTGTTATTACAGGTAGCGAGGTGCCCAGCTGTAATTCTGAGGGTTTGTTACAATGGGGATAATCAGCAGTCACGGGCTTATGATCCCCTCAAAGAAATAAAGGAAGGAGAACATCCATTAAAGAGATCAAGACAGTGGGTTTTTGTTTGTTTGTTCATTTGAAAAACTTTGCTCTTAGAAAGACATCTGTAAGAGAATGAATAAACAAGCCACAGACTAGATAAAAATGTTTGTAAATCATATATCTGATAAATGACCTGATTCCAAAATATGTATTTTAGAAAGAGAGAGGAAGAGAGAGAAATACATCTATTTGTTGTTCTACTTGTTTATGTAATCATCGTTTGATTCTTTTATGTGCCCGGACTAGGGATCAAACCCACAACCTTGGTGTATTGGGATGATACTCTAACCAACTGAGCTACCCAGCCCGGACCCAACATATATTTTTTAAAACTCTCAAAACTCAACAATAAGAAAAAACCCCACAATTTAAAAAATGGGGAAAAAATCTGAACAGTCACTTCTCCAAAACAGATATGCAGCTGACAAATATGAGATTACAGAGGCCATAAGGAAACTGTTGGGGGTGATGGATATGTTTGTTTTCTTGATTGTGATAATGGATGCATACGTTTGTGAGAACTTATCAAATGGTACATTATATGTCAATTACACTTTAATAAAGCTGTTAGAATAGGAAAAAGAAGGAACATGACATGAAACAAAAAGGCAGAGTAAGAAAAGATGGATGTGAAATAAAAACAATTAAAAATTCTGAGAATGAAAAATATTCATTGCATTGAAAGTACTCATTGAAAAGGGAAGGAAAGAAAGGAAGAAACTCTATAGATGGACAACCTCTGATCTGGGTGCAGTTAAAGAGAAAATTAGTGAATTGGGAGAGAGGTTGAGAAATTTTCCCAAAGTATTGTCCAGAAAGAGAAAAACATGAAAGGGCAGTTAAAAGACATGGGGAATAGATTGAACTACTCCAAAATATGTTTAATAGAAATTATTCAATAGGAGACTGGAGAAAATGATTGAGAAGCTATACTCATAAGCATAACAGCTGAGAATTTTTCAGCATTAAAAAAAGAGATATAAGTCCTAATCAAATAATGTGCTTGCTCATCAAGTAATGCACATATTTTATAAAAGTGAATCTCCACTTCAGGACCACATGGTGAAAGTACAGAAAATCAAGAATAAGGAGAAAGTCTCAGAATGCACCATAGACAGGTTATCCTCAAAAGAACCTTAGACTAAGAGTGGGCTGGTAAGAGCGCCTGGCAGCCTTCTTGACAGTCTTCAGAAGCGCTGAAAAAGAATAAAACTTCATCTGCTTAAAATTGCCTACCCAGCTGAACTCAGGAATGATGATGAAAGAATGGCAGTTTTACAGAAGGTAAAGGGGCCCAGCCCAAACCCCGAGGTTCTTGAACATTCAGAGATTTGGGAGAGGAGGAGCCCTCTCAAACCACATATGTCTAGTCCTCCAGAGAAAGCCTCTGTCTCCCACAGAAAGAGAGAGAGAAAGAAAGAGAGAGAGAGAGAGAGAGAGAGAGAGAGAGAGAGAGAGAGAGAGAAAGAGAGAGAGAGAGAGAGAGAAAGAGAGAGAAATTTTACTGCTGCTGGCTCAGGCCTGGGTTTCAGCCCTGCAGCAGTGGGGGCGCTGTGGCCGGAGGGCAAAAGGAAGTTTCAGGATGGTAGCAGATGGAGCCAGGCCCTGGGCCCTGGTTTTGGGAGGAGCCCAAGAATATGAGAGCCCCCTGTAGAATGGCCCATTCTAGACTCCTTCTCTGTCTTCCAGATTGTGGACAAGAACAACCGCTACAAGTCCATAGACGGGTCAGACGAGACTAAAGCCAACTGGATGAGGTGAGTCCTGCTCTCTGCTAACTTCCCGGGAGACTTGCCTGGACTCTGGAAAGAGACGGGGGAGATGCTGGGCCTGTGGGGTTTCCAGTGGTGGGGACCCCCAAAGGCACCAGGACTGCTGTTTGCAGGGTTTGAGATGTGTCTAGCTCTAGGCGACCCTCTAGCTCCCCCAGTCTTCCATCAGGGGGCTCTGGAGGAGGCCTGTGGCCAGACAGGTGGGATACAGGGACCCCTAGAGATGGGGTCTGGCGTACCCAGGCCCCTGGCTCCTGGCCACATTCCCTCCACCCAGGGCTGCGCCGCCTCTCGCAGGGCAGATCCTGCTGGAGTGGTGCAGGACTCACCCAGGGCAGCCACCGCAGTTGTCTCAATGGCTCCATGGAGAAGGAGGCTTCCGGCAGTTTTCAATGGTGCTTGAGGCCCAGGCATGAGTACTTCCAAGAGTGGTTTTACTGTGGTCCGGTGTTTGGGACAGAAGTTTGCGCCAGAAGGATCCTTTATGGCCAGCCAAGGAGAGCAGGCGACTGGCCAGGGTCACCCAGAGGCGGCTGAGCTGAGCTGGAACTCTGAAGGCTCCTCTTTGGGTTCTGTGCTGCTGGTCTGTGCTGTGTGCCAGGGCCCCACCCGGGGGGTCTGTGGGAGGGTGTGGAAGGTCTGACTTGCCTTGTTGCCCTTTTGGTGGCCTCTCTCTGGGACTTGGGAGTGGTGATGGAGGTTTGGATCTGGGTTGGGAGGGAAGGGAGGCCTCGGATAGCTGGACCCAGGCCACAGCCACACCATGGATGGGGCCCTCTGGGCATCTGTGCAGTTCTGTAACTTGTGGAGACTGGGGGCTGAGAGTGTACTTGGAGGAAGGGCAGTTAGGGACTTCCTAAGAGGAAGTTTGCTGTACTCAAACAATGAGACTTTCCAAGCAAATGAGGAGTAATTGGTTTGAGGTGGGGAGGGTGTGACATTGTCTCCGGTTCCCTCTCTGTGGCTTCACTGCGCCCCTGTGCTCCCACCTGAGCCTCAGCCACGCCCTGAAAGTGGCTCCAGGAAGGCAACCCACCCTCCTGACTTCCTTCTCCCCGACCGCTGGATGCAGTCAGCTCTGCACATGCAACTTACCGCCCGTTCCTGAGCACCTACAGGGAGCCAGAGCCTGTACCAGGCGCCCTGCCCTCCCAGGACACACCTTCCACCACGGAAACTGCCCTTTCTGAAACCATGTGCTGTGGGGCCCAGATGAAAGAGGAGGGGCCTTTGAACTGAGCCTTCGAAGGGGCCGGGCTTTTGTTTGAAGGCACGGTGAGCAAAGGCATAGCAGTGGGACCACACGTCCGCTGAGCCATCAGATGGCTGTGTGTCGCGGGCCCCTGGCCTGTGCTTCTGCCCCTGTTGCTGTAGGGGCTGTCGGCGAGCGAAGGAGAGTGTGTCTGAGACAGTCTGGTTCAGGCCTTCCTGCACCGTCACTTCAGACATTTTGTCGGGGGGAGCTGATTCTGTCCCGCTTTCCCACCCTTCTCTGGTCTTGCAGCTGGGGAATGGGGCTTTACCACAATTCCAAAGTGGGGGTAAAGTCTGAGCTAAGTGAATGATCACCTGGCCCCCCAGAGAGTCTGACTTACTTGGGCTGGGATGGAGCCCAGGGCACCGGTGTTCTTTAAAGCTCTCCGTGGTAATTCTGATGCGCCACTAGTGTTGAGAACCACAGCTCTATACCAGTCTTCATGCTTCCTGGGTAAACTGAGGCCCAGAGCAAGGCAAGGTCATGTGGTCAGTGGCAGAACAAGGTCATGGGGTCAGTGGCTGACCCTGGACTTGTGGTCTAGTGTTCTTCCTGCTTGTGCACAGCAGCATGGCTTCCTGAGCCCTGTGGGCGGCTTCTGCCACCGCTACCTTGCGGGGTGGGATCTGTCCTGTTTCTGCTCCAGGCCTCCTTCTGATCCAAGATACACCAGGGTAGTCACCGCTGTGGGGTCCTCATCGCATTGAAGGCTCCAGGAGTCGGTGGGGCTCGGTGTGTGGTCGTTGTCAGGGAGATGCCCCTCTGGTGGTAGTTGGAGGGGGAAGCCAGTTCATCCTGGGAACTTCCTTCTCCCTTAGCGTGCAGCTGCCGTCTGTGCAGCTTTCCCGTTTGCAGACACCGTCAGGTGCACTGTCCCTGCCTCGGGTCTTCTGAGGATCTAATGGAGTTTCTTCAAATACGCAGTGGGCCGGGAGGAGAATGGGCACCCGCCTAGTGAGCACTGACTCTATGGCAGCCCTGTGCTAGGCGCTCTGCAGTCATGAAATCGGTGGGCTGTTTGGCCCCTGGGGTATTGGCAGTCCCTTCAGGCATGTTTGGCTGTCACACCTCTAGGGTGGATGCTGCTCAGTTCTCTTGGGCAGAAGCCACGGATGCTGATTAACCTCCTGTACCGCCCAGGGCGCCCCTCCCCCACTAACAAAGAAAATTTCTGCCCCAAATGCCAACAGCGTTGAGATTGAAACCCCCTGCATGCAATCCTTCTGGCGACCCTGGGAGGTGGCACTAGATGCACCATCCTTGTTTTACAGAAACAGTTTGCAGAGGAGACTGGGCCTCTAGTCCCAGGTCTGTCCAAGGGCAAGGCCCGGCCTCAAGGGTCTTTGTGCTCCTGGCCTCTTGTTGAAGCTTCGGCAGCAGTCGGAGAAGTGAATCGGTTCCAGGTCTCCCTCCATACCCCGAGTTCTTGTGTTGGATGGACCTTTTGACACTAGTTAAAGGGCAGACAGAACCACACGGTGGAGACTGAGTTCAAAGCCAGAGCAGGTGCCAGGCCAGAAGGGGGAGGGGCCATGCTGTCCCCTTGCCCAGGGCCCCTGGCTGCTCTATGCAGATGGAAGCCAAGGTCACTCCTGGTCTCCATTGAAATGGAACTCGCCGTCCAGTGGGGCTCATGGGCTCCACACATCCTACCCATGAGCTGCCAGAAAGCCACAGGCACCTACATCCAAAAGGAGCAGCTGCCAGCCAGCGCTCCAGTGGGAGGGGCGTGGGGACCTAGTGGGGACTTGGGTGCAGGGGACGGGGCAGAGAGCCATGGGACAGAATAAGCTCTCTGTGACCGTACCCTAATTCCGAGCATCACCAGCAAGGCCACAGACCATGAAAGGCCTCTGTGAATAGTTTTCCTGTTTAATTATTCTTCCTGCCAGCCATGCATAGAAGCAGTGGCCTAATCCTAACCCCTATAGGCATCCTCTCTTCCTGTTCAGGGCTTTAGAGCTCTCGTACACCCCAGTGCCTTTGCCCCCTTGGAAGAATCCCCTCGGTTGGTGCGGTTGTTACTCCCTTTCCGGATGGGGAGAGTGGGCTGGGAGGGGCTGAGTGACTGCTCTGGCGGCACAGCTGAGAGGTAAGGCCGGAACCAGAGGTGGGCTCAGCCCAGCGCTCCCACCTGCGTGCGCCGTGTGGCTCCCTTCCTTCCGAGGAGTAGCGCGAGGACCTCTCGGTAGGAGGAGGGTGTAGTGATGGTGAGCTGGAGAGGGCGCCCAGGTGCCTCCTGGCTCCCCAGCTGGGGGCCGGCATTAGGAAGGAGGAGGACCGCCCACGCTGACAGTCATTTACCCAATTGTGCTTTGTGGGATATTGCACCCAAGGAATGTGGCACCCCTGGCCGATCGTAAGCGGAAGCCCAAGTTCTCCAAGGAGGAGCTGGACATTCTGGTCACCGAGGTGACCCGCCATGAAGCTGTTCTCTTTGGGAGGGAGACCATGCGGCTGTCCCATGCCGACAGGGACAAGATTTGGGAAGGCATAGCTCGGAAAATCACCTCTGTGAGCCAGGTTCCCCGCTCCGTCAAGGACATTAAGCACAGATGGGATGACATGAAACGGAGGACCAAGGACAAGCTGGCCTTCATGCAGCAGTCCCTGTCAGGCCCCGGGGCCGGGGGCCGGGGCCCTGCCATTGTGCTCACTGCCCACGAGCGGGCCATCGAGTCAGCGCTGCTCTCGGCCCGTTCCGGGCACAGCTTCCCCAGGGCAGAACTGGATGGCACCGACAGCCCTTCGACCAGCTGTGAGTACCACGGTCTCCCCTCCCCAGGCTCCTCCCGCCTGCTCCCTAGCCCCCTCCTTGGCGGTTTCCCACTCACTTGCCTACTCCTTCTCTCTTCTGTCCCCCTCTGATTCGCCCATCTTTCCACTCTTCCCTCCTCGTCCCACTCTGTCTTCTCCACCCCTTTCCGTTCATTCATTCTAGAATATTTCCTGAACACTGCGCCAGGAGTTGTGTATAAAATCTACACCGGTCCTGCTCTCAGGGAGTTCCTAGACTCGTGGGAATAGACAAACTTTAAGTAAATAATCGCACAAGGAAATTTGTAACAAGGGATCGAGGGACCAGTACAAGGAGTCCTGAGGGCTGACTTCATGGGTGTGTGACCCTTGCCATCACTTGTAACCGGGGCTCCGAGCTGAGTTAAATGCTCTGCTGTTCCCTTCCCAAAACTCATAATAGTTTTTGAACATGGCGCTCTGCGTTTTCATGTTGCATTTGGCCCTGCAAATGATGTAGCAGCCTGTCTGAGAGTAAGTGGGGTGGAACAGGCTCTCCACCAGGGGCTGGGGAGGGCTCCCAGGAGGGACAGTGCACTGAGATGCAAAGGATGAGCAAGAGTTAACCAGGCCGATGACTGCGTGGGGCGCAGAGGGGAGGGGAGTGCCTCACAGGCGGAGAACAGCATGTACAAGGCCCCGCATCAGGAAGGCGCTTGGCACGTTCCAGGAACAGAGAAGAGCCAGGGAAGCCCAGTGGAGCAGGCGAGGGGGAGGGGGTGTGAGAGGAAGCCAGCCAAGTCTTCAGGGCCCAGGCCATGGAAAGATCAGCCCCTTCTCTGTCTGTTCCTAACGTCTCTATTTCTGTGTTATTTTCTGCCTTCTCCCACTTCTCTCTGCACTCTGCCTCTTGCTGCCCGCCCTGAGGCTCCCCTAGGATCCCTGCCTCTGTGCTCAGTGGGTCCCCTCTGAGTCCACACCACCCTCGTGTCCC